GAGCTTATACTTGGCAAGAGAGGAACCCACATCAAAAAATAAATAGAAACAAATCACAATACATCATACCTATATAGCATCATAAGTGCTGTGATGGAAATAGCCAGGGTACCAACTGCAGCACTCAGAAGGGAGTGAGGATAGACCAGGAATGGACTCGCAGAGGGCCCCCAGGATGATATTAAGTTAAAAATCATGACTGGGCAGGATCTTAAAAACAAGACGGGATGACCAGTAAAGCCAGGAGGGAATGGAAGACATTCTAGAAAACAGGAATCCAATATGCCAAGGCCAAAGGTCTAAACAATCTTTGAGGATAGGGCCAATCACTTGGGATGTCTGGGACAGGCAGTGCCACCAGAGGTGTGTTTGCAGAAGTATTCAGACAGCAGACGGTGAAAGTAAACACAACCCCAAACGATCTGAACTTGACTCTCAAGGCTCTGAGGAACCACTGAATAATTTTAAGGATATATACAAATATATATACACACACATGCATACATATATCTGTATTTTATTATAGAAAGATCACTTTGATAGCAGCAGGTAGGATGAATTTGAGGTGACCAGGCTGGAAGGTGGAAAGATCAGGTAGGAAGGTGGAAGACACTGGGTGATGCAGGTTAAATACACACACACACACACACACACACACACACACACACGTTAGGGCCTCAATTTGGAAAGAGAATAGTAGCAGTGGTCTGTAGACAGTTTCTGTAAAGAGGCTTGAACTGGAGGTTATAGATTTGGGAATCACCAATATTTTTAAGGTGTGATCTGCCAGAGAGAAAATATAAGTAGAAGAAGAAAGCCAGGAGCAAGGTCTGCAGGACTCTGGTGTCGAGAGGCCGGGAAAGGCAGACACAGAGGTGAAGGAGGTAGGGGACGAGTCAAGAGAAAGACAGAAGAGACCCGTGAGACAGAGGAGTCAGCTTCAAAAAGAGGGTAGAACATAGTATCAGGGATAAGAGTGTCCACTACGTTTGGCAATCAGAACTCTAGCTGGACTTGGCCATAATCATTTCCATAGAGTGGGGGGGGGGGAGCCAGATTGCAGCTGAGAAATTTACTGGAGACAAGACAGTAAAGATAGCAAAGCATAAATTACTGTTTTCCCAAGGAGTCTGGCCATTCAGAGGGGAAAAATAGGGCAACAGAATAGGTCTTTATCATCCCTCTTTTTAAAATTAGAACAGACACAAGTATATTTATATACTGACTTTTTAAAACTTGTGATGGAGAAGGTGAGGATTCAGAACATAGAAGAATCAAAAGAATACTTTCTTTAAGAGAGAGTAGAGGTCAGGGACACTACCTCAGCAGAGACAGAGATAAGGAGGGAGTGAGGCTGTGAATACAGGTAAGTTTGGGGCTGAGAAGACAAGAAATCAACGTTCTCCTTTATGGAGCCCTATTTCATCTGTGAAATCGTCACTGTAAGTGAGGACGAAAGTGGCAAATGAGGTGTCTTGAAGAGACTGTTAAAAGTTTAACAGTCTGTTGGGGAGAACACAAGAAGCCATCCATGGATAATATGCTAAAGCATTACTATGCACCACCTAAGATTAGACGAGGGTAAGAGACTCAATATATTATGGTGCCAATCCATACACGATGGACGATTATCTCCAAGTTCTTTAGGAACCTTAGCAAAAGGGAACTAAAGACAAATCGTAAGTTTTATCAGCTTGAGCGTTTTAGCAGGTGGCAAAGTTAATCCAAGCAGAGCTGACGTAATCAGAAAAAGGTAAGGCGCATGGGCATCTGCTCCAACCATCCTTTTGAGCAGGAAGAGGCATAATAGGAGGCTCCCACTTTATTTTTTTGTTTTATTGAGACAGAGTCTCACTATGTCACCCCATAAAGTGCCATGGCGTCACAGTTCACAGCAACCTCAGACTCTTGGACTTAAGCGATTCTCTTGCCTCAGCCTCCCAAGGAGCTGGGACTACAGGCACCCACCACAACACCCAGCTATTTTTTGTTGCAGTTGTCATTGTTGTTTAGCTGGCCCAGGCCGGGTTCAAACCTGCTAGCCTGGGCATATGTGGCTGGTGCTGTAACCACTGTGCTATGAGCGCCAAGCCAGGAGGCTCCCACTTTAGTGATGTGTCTCAGACAGGTGTCCCAATCACAATCTACCAGCAGTGAAATGGACATTAAACTTTCAAAATGGAGTTCTTGTACTCATCTACCAGTTGGCTCAAAATCTAAAGAGGGTAAGAAGGAGCGATCATTCTGCAACTCCTAGAATGAGAGTTTACAATGTCTTGGTAGAACATCTGCTGATAATGGCAAGGGCTAGGAGAGGTCAGGGAAGTGTGGTGCGAAGCACGGACAGAGCTGCTGGAGCCAGAGATCTCAAGAACAGCAGCTGCTGCAGGTTGGACATGATCTCTACCCAGACACTGAGGTCTTCCAACTGAGGCTGACCTTGGGATAGATAGGAAGAATGCAAGCCGGGTTCTGAAGAATAGAAGGCAGTGACCAAGGATTGATGGGGATGGTGAACATAGGGAAGAGGTGGGACAGCTGGTACCACCGTGGCCTTCATGGAAGACTTGTTACAGGAAGGTGAAGGAATAGTGTTTGGAAGCCACAGCAGGAGAAGTAGGCAAAGGTCATACCCGATCAAAGGCCTTAGATTTTCCTTGTTTGCGCCAGCAAATATCCTTCCCTGAAGAAAGCAACGGTGTAAACAATAACCTCAGGGAGAGAGCTAGATTTTATTTTTTTATTTTATTTAAGGAAAACTATAAAATGTTTAGAGAAGACAGTAAAAATATATAGGAGACTGCTCCAGGGAGTACAGTGGAAAGGGAGGTTCAAAGGATGGAGAATAAGAATAGAAGCCAAAACGTGTCTGGGAACAAGCTGTCTCATCCCAGGCCCTCGGAACTGACTGTTGGTTTTCCAGTAAGTCGGATAAAATGGGAAATGATAAAAAATGATTCATACATACCATAAACACTTTCTATAACTTAAAACATAAATGTACACACATGTGCCAATCTTTTGATGTAAGGCCGAGGCCTGTTCTCTGCATATGGATCTGCTGATTGGAGTTATGCATCTTCTGTCTTATAAAAACCACATCCTTCATCTACCATTTCCAGTTTTGCTTTCTTTAAAGTGAAGGGAGAACCTGAAGACACTTGGGAAATCATAAATGCAGAACCGAGCTAGATTTTTATAAGCCCCCTTCCCAAATACACACATTCTTTGCCCGTTATCCTGCCTAGTCAGTAACGAAGTTATTGTAGCTAATTCAGCTTAGTTTTCATAGAAACAAAACATCTTTACTGAATTTGATCAGCTTATTTCCTCTTCATTTAAAATATATAAATAAGTATACATAAGAAATACAACTGGACAAATAGGTTTGAGGACAAACACATCCTTGTAAAAAGAAAAAAAAAAAGGTTAATTGGTGGGATCAAGAGTACATGGGCCACCTAAAAAGAAGCCTCCTGGCTGAGGGTGGTGAACCTTAATGCAGTATCAATTAATCCTGTAAGTCAGGCAAGAGATCGATTAAGAGAGCTGTAATTGTATAGGTGACAAGATAGGTGGCATTTTGAAGGGCAGACAGGGGTAGCAGAGATGCGAAGTGTTATTAACCGGCTTCACGTTTCCAAACAAAGAGTTGGCATAGAGATTGCTTTTTTTCTTCCTCATGTACATTCTTTTCCCTGACCCTCCATCCCTTAACTCCATTGCTTTCTCTGTTTTGAAGAAGAGAGACCAGGAGTTTAGGGAACAAGGAGGAAGAACAGTAAGGAGCTCTGGAGAAGGGCTCTGAACCTCCGGAGCGACCGCTGGGTCCCGAGCTGCTTCCACTTACTCCTTTTCTTTTAGGATTCACATCTAGGAATTCAGCCCGTGGGCGTCTTTCACTCTGTGCATCTTTTCTTAACCTGAGCCTTTTCTGCCAGGTAACTAGGGACCCAAATGCATAGTCATTCACACTCTCTCCTTCTTTCTCTTTTTCCCACTGGTTTTTCACAAAGGTTACTCCTAGTGACCACATATACAGGGAAAGGTAACAAAAACATCAAAACCAGAAGTGTCTATACTTTCAAGAAATGCTCAAGATACCAGTGTTAACTGTCACGGGGAGGCCCATGCTAACCTAGACACCATCACCAACTCCTTTACATTTTCCACTACATGGGACCCCTTTCTTGTCCCAAGGAATTCAGCATATTCTTCATACTCCTCAGTCCCCCAAACTGGGACGTCTCTCCTCATCACTCTACAGCAGAAATGGGAATACTGGCTGCTACCAGAGTGGTAATTTATAGACCAGCCACCATTTACTGAGCACTTCTGCGTGTCCCATAGGACCAGATATCAGCTTGTTTAATCGTCACCAAGATGGGGGTACTATTATCATCATCTTCCCCACTTCATGGATAAATTAACAAGACTAACAAGAGTAAGCATGATGACCAAGGCCTCACAGAAAGTTAAGTATGAGGGCCAGGATTTGAACCTGGCTCTGTGGTAACTGGACCTCAGAGGCTGGGCTCTTATCTGCTACACTCCACTGCCACTCTCAGAATGCTTAGGTTCAAGTGGAATTCATTTATAATTTAGAAGAATTTTCTTAGGGACATACACAATATCAATGAGTGCCTTTTCCTAAAAATGACCCCCATTCACGTACCATAGGAAAAACGAGTTTAGTGCATTAACCTAAAGTCATTTCTCTTTCATCTTCTCTATGACAAGAAGAAAATACAGGTGACTAAAATATACTCTTTCTGGTCTCAGCAACCCTATTTGGAATGATAGAAGACAAATATGTCTGCCATCATGAAAGCAGTTCCCACTCGGTACTTTCCACAATCCTTCCCCTTAGGCAACCACACAATGTCTATAACAAAGCAGGGGAGTGGGGTTGTTAGGGAAAGAGAATCAAAGCGATAAGCTGGGAAAAGGTGAGTGAACCCAACAGGCACTTGCTAAAAAGTTAAATAATCCAAACTTACCTTTTTGGTACACTTTTTGACTGTGTTGATTAATTCTTGTATTACCAGATCTACACTCTTCAAGGAAGGCCCTTTCAGCTTCACAATCTGTTTCTTGACTATTGCTTCAAATGCCATATCTGGAGTAAACAACCCTGTCCTGAATATAAGAAAAAAGGAGCACATGAGATGGTTAAAAATTGAGTAATACTCAATAATCTTTTGATACATGTTTAAATGAAGATGCCACTTACGTATGCAATAGACCAAGTTATCCATAGCACTGTTATTGTAATATCTTCATTACTGCTAAACCATAAGAAAAGGCCCATATCTATAGAAGATTAACACTAGCTAAAAACAGTGCCCAAAATGTTTACATGGCCTTCAACATGACCTTTAACAAATATTTACCTGTAATTTGTCTTATCTCACTGTTTCACAGCAATTAAAAAAAAACACTACAATAAAAATGGTGCCCTAAATTTAAATTCCTATTGCTAAAAGATTCCAAAAGTAGTCCTCTCTTGGCCTTTGTGGAGTGGCAAGAAAGCCTCGCTTTTGGTACACTGAAATAGTGGAGTCTCTTGACTATATGATGTATTCTTTTCACAGAGCTTTTATATTACAGTGGGCTTGGTGGTTCCCAACCTGAGGTCCTGGCCTATTAAATGAAGAGGACGGTAAGTGGAGCCAAAGATGAATTTCGATATTTCAAGATGCCTAGATTATGGATTTTATAATTTACAAAAATTATAAATCACAGCCAAAATAGAAAGGATCTTCCTTTTGGCTAAAATTAATTCAAACTTGTGTCAAAATAATGCTTTCCTTATGCCGAGTAGAAGGTCAGGGAAGCTAATATACTGTACATGTCCATGTGTGTGCGTGTGTGTGTTTCATAAAAAGTGAAAAATGATCACTCACATGTAAACAAAAAGTCAACAGAGAAGAGCTACAACAAGAGGGTTCCCTGAGCTCTGAGCATCCGCCATGACTTAAGGTTTTGGCACTGGACCTCCCTTTCCAAATGCTCTTCTCCTCTCCTCCTCAGCTCTATCTGATTAACTTCTCTTCCTTCAAGGCTCAATGGTACAGCAGGTCTCTGTAGGAAATGTCTTTTTTTTTTTTTTGCAGTTTTTGGCCAGGGTTGGGTTTGAACCCACCACCTCTGGCATAGGGGGCTGGCTCCCTACTCCTTTGAGCCACAGGCGCTCCCCTAAGGAAATGTCTTTACTGCTTCCCTCACACCAGCTTTACTCAGCATCCCTTCTTATCATTTACTTGGCACCCAGTCCACACCTCTGTGTCTAACTATAGTAATCATATTACACCATCACTGTAATTTGTCCATGCTGGGCACAGAATAAAATCCAAATCATTTAGGCTAATATTAAAAACTGTCCCCCTGTCTGCCTCTACCTTCCTTTATAGTCCTTTTCCTCCTCCTCCTTCATGCACCCGAGGTCTCAGTCAATTTGCCTTTATTCATACAAGTATTTTATGTCTTTACCTTTGCCTGGGATATTCATTTCATCCTTTCCACAATTTCAGCCTGTCCAAATTCCACCAGGTTTTCAAAGCCCAGATCAAAAGCAACCACTTCCCCACACTCCTTCCCAGTCTTGCTGCTGAAACGGTCTTCCTGCTCTGAACCTCAACATTTTACTTCACTCTGCAATAATCCAGGCATGCTTTTCAGTCCCATTACTCTCCTATAGCTAGAGGTGTTCTCCTATTTATCTTAGTTTGCCCCCCACCGACTGCCTCTCTCCCTGGCTAATGGTTGGCTCTCAGTGTTAGCAAAACATGGAGGAAAAATAAAGCAGCTCTTCCATCAGGTTCCTCATGCAAAGCTGGCTTCTACTACTCATGCAAAGAGACTTACAGGGTCTCTTTCCAACATACCTCAACTGGCCCTCTAGCAAATGTCAAGTCACAGCTGACAACAGATAGACATCTCCCGCAGATGAGGTAATCTATGAACTGGGCAGCCTAAGTTTTATTACCTTAATTCAGGATGCTTCAATTTAACATATGCTCATTAAATTATGTTTAGTCTCTGTGCATGAACCAAGAAACATGGGTTTTTCTTATCATAGTTCTTCAAAGAAAGTGTTATGACCTGAATGTTCTTCCTAAAATTCATATGTTGAAACCTTATCTCCTCAAGGTGATGGTTTTAGGGAAGTGGGGCCTTCAAGAGGTAATTAGGTCATTAGGATGAGGCCTTCACAAATGGGGTTAGAGCTCCTATAAAAAGAGGTCTGGTAACTAGGTCTCTTTCTGCCACAGGTACCACGAGAAGTCAGCAGTCTTCAACCTGGAAGAGGACTCTAACAAGAACCCCCATGCTGGTACCCTCATCTTAGACCTCCAGCCTCCAGGACCATAAGAAACAAGTATCTGCTGTTCATAAGCTGCTCGTTATAATAGCTTGAGCTGAGATACACACACACACATGTACACAGGCACACACACAACACAGCTTGGCCTGTTGAAGTCATTCTGTCCACAGGCAAGGATGAACTCCAAAGTAACTACTTACATTAATCTTTCCCAGTCTTGACCCACAACTCTAGTCAAAATCAATCTATCCTTTTCTCTGTGTAAGTAATGATCACTTATAAGCACATCAGGCCTCCCTCACTCAAACCGAAGACTCTGGAAACCAGAGCCAAAGGCTCATCTGTGAATTCCCTATTGTACAGAATACAGAGAGCACTTTTGCTTTTTTAATTGGAAAAAACTTGACTATAACAATACGGGAAGCCATCATTAAATACAAAACTGGGATCTCCTTTTTCTTACTCCCACCTCTGTACTCTGTTCAGTGATGAAAAGGCTACTTTACCAGCCATTTATAAACATTCATTTTCTTATGGTAGCTTGAACTGAAGACAAGAAAAATGGGAACCACTTGCCTGATTCCGTGTATGTTTTTGATTGCATAGCTTATTTCTCTTCGCAATTCTTTCTCATTGAACTCCATCTGCAGATGCAAAATGAGCCATGGTTATATGACACTTAATTCCCTGGAATAATAATATTGTTGAATATACAGAATGAGAATAACTTGACTTAGTTATTAATAAATGGATACTCATGTCTCTCCTAACCTAGACCCAGATGGTCAAAACATCTGTTTATATAAAGTTCAAGGCAACATAGAACACTAGGGATTTCTGGGAGTTTTACTGCAACGGATTTCAACTCCAGCTTAGATACAGAGTACAACGCATAAAGCATGCCTTCTGGACATAAATCTGGCCATTCACTTGAAATACATAATTCTTCATTCTTACGTGAATGTAAGTAAATTTGAAGGCACAGGCCGGTGTATACATGAGGGCGTCCCCCAACGTGCATCAGCAGTGCAGCTGTCCTGAAATTAACAATGGCCATGTTTTGTCCCCGCCATTTTAACCACCTGAGCACAAGGCTTCTTTATAGAAGAAAATTAATATTTCACCAAGCCAACGCAGGAGAGATTGCTGTACAAATATTTCCCAGAAGTCCTAAGAACCGTAAATCTGCTTGGAAGTAGGATCAAAGTGTCACAGAGCTTAGAGCTGGAAGGAATATGCCGGGAACACCGAGTCCAGCCCCTGCCTTCTGAGACTTGGCCTCTCCAGCCTCATTGTCTGTTTCCCCCACTACCCGGTGTGCCCTAGGATGATGGATTGCTTCAGGTGCCTATCCACACCCTCTGGCCTCACAGCTCACAGCTTTCATTGCTCCCCCCTTTTTGTCTGAAACACCCCCTTGTCCTACCCTGCCTCCTCCTGCTGAACTAGCTGCTCATCCTTCCAAGCTCAGCTCAGAAGTCTGGCTCCCTTACACATTTGGGCCGGGATTTCCATCTGTGGGCTGTTTCCATAACACCCTGTGTTAATGAAACTATCTATTTACTCATCTGCCTCCCACGGCAAGACATTAGCACCCACTTCTTGGTATGTGAGGCAAGTAGTGTAGTCCCTAAAAGTGACTTTCCTGCCTATTGGGCATTGGACCCTTAGCATGCCCAAAACAGAACTCTTGATTCACATCACCACACAAGCAGCTTTTCTTCATCTGATGGGCCCCACCATTCACTCAGCTGTGAAAGCCAAAACCTTAGGAATCATCTCAAATCTTCTTTCTTCCTTTCCCCATATCAACTCAAGCCCTATGGACCGCACCTCCAAAATCCCGAAGCCATCTATCTCTTGCCACCTTCTCTTGCCAGGGCATTTTGACTGAGAAGCTGGAGAAGTGTACGTTTCGGGATTTCTCCCTGGCACTAGCCTCTTCCAAGACTCTGTGTCTGTGTGTTTTTAAGTTTGTATTCCTCTTCTTCTAGGGGGCCTTCAAAATTGTAGAAGCTTCAGGTCCTACAGAAAGTGCATCTACCCTGGTCTGGCCCAGCTGTTTCCCGAACTTTCTTGTCCCTTGCCCCTTTATAATACAACAGGCATAGTCTCCTTTTAAAATAATCAACCGGCTAAGGCGCCAGCCACGTACACCTAAGGTGGCGGGTTCAAATCCCCAGCCCGGACCCGCCAAACAACAATGACGGCTGCAACCAAAAAAATAGCCGGGCGTTGTGGCGGGCGCCTGTGATCCCAGCTACTTGGGAGGCGGAGGCAGGAGACTTGCTTAACCCCAGGAGTTGGAGGTTGCTGTGAGCTGTAATGCCATGGCACTCTGCCCAGGGGGACAGCTTGAGGCACTGTCTCAAAAAAAAATAAAAATAAAAATAAAAAAAATAAAATAAAATAAAATAATCAACCCACTCGAGTCATACCCTCGCTTACAACTCTCCTGTAACTTCCCATTTTTAAATGTAAACATCTTACGTCCACGTCAACCTAGACAGCCTTGCTGCATGAACTTGAGCTTCTTTTCCCTCTAAATCCGTCACATACCCCTCCCCTTCATCAGTCTCATCACTTCTTCATCTGCCACACTCCTTCCCACTTCAGGGCTTTGCCCAAGGTTGCTGCTTCTGCTTCTGCCTTGAGAGCCCTTCCTCGCCCAGACTGTTACAAGGCAAGGAGCATAGTCTATGGGCACTACTACTCACAGCACTCTGGGCTCAGCTTAGATGGCCCCTGCACAGACAGAACTTTCCAAAAACCCCTTTAAAAGTGGCTCACTCAGTCCCCATCTCTCACGTCCTAAAAGCACTTGATATTTCCTCATTTTTGTCTACTTGCTAATTTTCTGTCTTTCTCCCTAGGCAGGCAAGGACCTTCTCTGTTCTGATCACTGGCACCTAAAACTTTGGTGCCTAGAAGGTGCTGAAGAAATCCTTTTAAATTTAACAGACAAGTAAACACCATAGGAAACTCCATTAGTATTTTTTGAAATAATGTAGGTAGATCCCATGAAGTAAAGCCAGAATATTTCTCTCCTGAATTTCATTACCTGAGTGTGGAAGTTTTTATTCAAAGAACTATCTTTGTCTCATAACACTGACATAATACTGTATCAAGAGTCCTGTAAAATAGAATACAGAATGAATGAAACAAAAGAAAAAAAAATGGTACAAACCTTTACTATCTCAAAAGGAAAGCGTTCGTGGAAAATACGATTGATTTTAGCACCACCCGAGAGTTCCAGGGTATCCACTTGGTCCCCTGAACCTTCGATTCTCTTCTCAAAGTCCACGGCAAATTGCTGAACCATCCTGTAATTGTGACAGAGGAAGAAATTCAAGTTAAAGTTCCAAGCTTTTGCATTCCTCATTTTACTGGACTACGGTTTTCCTTCAGGATCCTCTCTCGGGTGTTCTTAGTGGCACCTACTGGCAGGATTAACAATGCACTCTAGTCAGCACTCAGAATGCGATTATAGGAAATAAGTATTGTCAAGATGTTTGACATTTAATTAGAATAAATATTTTTTAAATTTCTGTATTTAAATGCATTCTGTTCATTTGGTTGCAACTATGAAGTGGTATTTAAAGAATATTTACACTAACTATTAAAGTTAAGCCAGAAAACTCTATGCAGAAAAGTCAAATGAACCTGGGATCCTAGAGTATCACGTTTGTCTGGTGTTCCAGGCACTCCAGGCAACCCCCCTCATATTCTTTGAGCTATCTTTCCTGCCCCCAATATCACATTTCTACTCATCCTGTACATTCATCCTAGGTGATCTCAAGGATGCCACAGCTGCAAAGGTTATCAAGAAACTAGTCTTTCACGGAGAGAGTGAGCAGCCCATATGCCCAACTGTCTACATCCCATTTATTTACTGCCTCGAACTCAGCACACCTAAAATGGAACTTTTCAGCTTCTCTCACTCCCAAATCTGCTGATTCTCCCTCATTTCTGAATTCCCCTCATAGTGGGTGGCACCACCCACCCAAGGCAGAGAATCAGGGGCATCCTGTATACCTCCCCGTCCCTTACCCTGCATTTCCGGGGAGTCACCAGTTGTTGGTCGTTCCCCCTCTTCACATCCCTCAGAGGACCTATCTCTTTCTCTTCAGCACCCTCAGCCCCCACCAACACTGCCTCGGTCAGCCCTCAGCAATGTCTCATGGGATCACTAAAGCCACCTCTAGGTGACCACCCTGCTTTGGGGTTTCTCCCCATCAAGGTCAACACAGACTTGTGGCTCCATGCCCCACTACAACTAGGTCTGGCCTTGTTTTTCAATGGCTCCTCACAGTTTGATAATAAAATCAAAATTCCTTAACCATCTCCCAAGATTCTCTACGGTCTGCCCCTGGCTGTCTCTTTGGCCCATCACTCACCACTCATCTGCTCGCCTTCCAAGCCAACCAGAAGAAAACCATCTGCAGCTCCCAAATGTCCCGGGCCTCTCTGCCTTTACATTTGTTTTTCTTTCTGCTCAGAACACCATTCTCTCCATCCCTTGCTGCTTTGCCTAGCTAATATATATTTTTTTAATTTTCCAATATTTTATTAGGCAATTTTTCAAACACACACTGCAGTTGAGAAAATTATACAGTGATCAGCCATATACCCGCCACACACATTTCATATTTTTTTTCTTCGTTTTCACATGTAGGGAACTTGTTCGTAGGGAGGCCACAGGGTTTGTGCTCCTCATCACAGTGACCCCAGACTCCTGTTGGGTGTGTTATAGACAGAGAAGCCATTTTTCACGCCCCCCTGCTCTGATCACACCCCTTGCCTAGCTAATGTTTATCTGTCCTTGAGACCCAGCTCAAGCATTAGTTTTTCCAGGAAATCTGTGATCCATGGTCCTATCCACCACACTCCTCATCGTCACCCCGATTAAGGACCAGATCTGCTTCCTGAGCATGTTTCTAGCACAGCACTTGGCAGAGGGCACTGCCATGGCCCTGGCCAGCAGTCACTCTCACAAGGGCAAGGACCACGCATTTTATTTATGTTTTCTTGTTCAGCAAGTTAAAGAGATTCAATATATATTTGTTCACAGAAAGAACGAAATGGCTGGTTTTAAAAAAATGTAGAAAGAAAATAACTCTTTCCATTTGTGATTACTAGGTTTAGAAACTAATTTTGACGTACTGGAACTACTTTCCAATTCAAAATCTAATAGGAAAAAAAAATGCAAACTGTCTAAAACGTGTACCTTTTCATTCTCTTCCATCAAAGTCATGAGTGAGTTAAAAGTAACTGCAAACCATTTAGGCCAGAAAAGCTAGAATGTAATTGGGTTTTGCCATGTTTGTGCCTATGCTAATGTTATTTTTTTTAATAACATTAAGAAAGGTATAATATGAAATTTTGGATTGAAACACCAAGAAATTTTAGAAAATTTAGCCACTCACTTCCCCCAAACCCTATCCTCTGGCCACCTGGCCCACTTACTGATCTAGAACAAGCTGTATCAAAGTTCACACTTCTACCTCGCCTTCCTATTTCCACCCAACAAACTCCTCTCACATGCCAAGGTCTCAAGAATTTTCCGTGAACTCACACCCTTGCTTACATGTAACTGCTGCCTCATGGGACTCCCTTAACATTTTATACTTACAAGAAACAGCATTCCTTAGATTTGAACACAATTGCTTATGTGTCCATGTTCCCCTGTTCTGCTATGACTTCTTGAGGGCAAAAATTCTATTCCTTGTTGAATCCCTGGCATGTAATATAGAACCAGACCCTGAGTGCATGAAGAGATTAGAAGAAAAAGAAAGAAAGGAAGAAAAGCAGGAAAGAAGGAAGAAAGAAAAGAAACCGATCAGAAAGCACAGGACCTTTCCGGTCTTTCCGGTTACCCTCCCACCACCTGTCTAACAAGGGTACAAGTGAACTTTTCTAGAACTAGAATATAAATGTTTCGACACAATGACTAAGCAAATGACATGAAATCTATGTGAACCAGCTTGATGAAAGTATTTCAAATTGTATATGAAAACACTACACTGTACCCCATGTTTGCATTAATGTATACAGCTATCATTTAATTAAAAAAAAGAAAGAAAGAAAGCACAGGACCATGAAAACAGAGCTGAGTCTGCCCCTACAGGTCAAGTATCTATAACCATGAAAAATTCTATCATCTCAGTCCAATCAAGTCACAGAGACAAGACCCCATCTTTGAGAATAATTTTTGTTGGATGTAAAGGTAATAGCCTAGGACCTAAACAGAAATAGTTTTTCTTTCTCTCTTACTTAAAAAATTCCTACAAGGTCTTAACCAAGCCCAAGAATAAAAAGAACAAACTGGGGAAGAGTTACATCCAAGCAAAAACTTTTTCCTTTGTATTCTCTTACGACTTTTTAAATAAGAAAATAGAAGATAATGCATTTAAGATGTTTATTTAAAACAACATTTAAAGAAATATTATTTATGGGCATCTGGAAATCTCCCCATCAAGAAATTATATTGTGAATTTTAAATGCCAAGTTCACATTGTAAGGAAAAAGTTCACTGAAGGTGAATGAATGGATGAATGGATGAATGAATGCCACAGTCCAGGTGTTTTGATCCTCATCTTTGGAGGTAAAGCTCAGGTGTCCTGGAAAGTAAGCAGGGCAGGGGGGTTTTCTGGTCGTGAGGAACCTGATGCAGGTTACAGTGCAGTGATGAAGAGACAGATGATGTCAGAGGGGGTAAGGGAGAGAATAAAGGTCTAAGATACAACAAGCTGTTAATTCTCCAGCAACTTTGCTGTGCTATCCCATGTCCCTTCAAAGACAAGGGTAGTAATCTGAGGATAAGATGAGAAGGAGGGAATACAGGAGTGAAAAGATGGCTGATGATTTCCTCATTTGCATTTTTAAAGGTTTACATGACAATCACTCCCAAAAATAGAAACAAAATTTAAATATGGCATTATTGACCATATTCTTTAAAATTAAATGCTTAGCTCTCATTCCACTGAATAATGCACAAGGAAAAATTACATAAAGTGATTGAAATAAAAAGTAAGTACAACTGACATCGATAGAAACAGCTGAAAAATACAAATGACATTCTCATCTGAATTTACACATTTCTAAGACTAAGGAGAAAAAAATTCTGCTGAGTTACCACTACTGGTTTTACTCACTGAGTCCAGTCTTAAAAACAATTCACTTGGGCATGGGGATTGCTAAATTTGTAATTATAGACTTAAGATCAATAATTTCTCTTCAATAAAACATGAAGATTCAAGGGTCCCTGTAGAACATACAGTGGGCCTCATATAGTTTACTTGCTGCCTCTCTGTTAAACCTAAAAAACAACGTGACAAATAGACCAAGGCCAAAGCAAATTGAAGAAATTAGTTTAAAATGCTGAACAGAGGAAGGCAAAGGTGACGTACTGCAGCAATGCTTTGGTCTTCCTGGTGGGGTCTTCTGGTTTGAAGTTTTTGTAGGCTTCTACTTCGTGTTCTATGGACAGCAACTGTCCCTGGAGTTTGTTCCTAAAGTTAGGCAGCGTATCTCGAATGTGGTTGGTAAGTTGCTAAATAAAACAAAACAAAAATCATGCACGCATATAACAGATTGAGCGCTAACTCATGAGATAAAAGTCAACCTCTACTGTTCTCCTAATCATTCAAAACTTCAAAAATCATATATACATTTGAGAATATCCATGTAGACAATAGTGAGAAGAGACGCCAACTCTCCCCTCTACCACCCTTCGGAGATGCTCAAAATTCCTTCCATTTCAGTCACTCCCTTGTTATCTCTTTACGTCTGGGGAAACACTGTTAAAATGGGGCTAACGTTGCTAATGAAGCTGCCCTGTAACACCTTAATACTTATTTATCTATTTATTTTCGGCCAGGGCTGGGTTTGAACCCACCACCTCTGGCATATGGGGCTGGCACCTTACTCCTTTGAGCCACAGGCACTGCCCCACCTTAGTGTTTATTAATTTGACTTGTCAGATCACCTGCCTCGTAGAAAGGAACCTTAAGTTAGACTGTGGCAGAAAGGAAGGTGGGAGTTTCAGGTGCTGCCTGATGTGCCCAGGACTGAATGGCTCATCACTCGGAGTGACCTGTCACTCACAGTTCAGGTCCTTGAGGTGCCATGCAAAATGGTCAGCTACTCCTACCTCCATCTCCATGCCCAGTCTAACTCCAGTTGGTCACCAATCTGTGCCTTCAACAGACTAACTCTAAAACGTCCATGACTGAGTGAGGGAAAGCTCTCTCAGCTTTTGACGCCACAACCTGACCGTCATGCTGGACATGCCTACCCATAATTAGCTCAGTAAAGTGAAAAGTTCTCCACAAAGGGAAGATAAAAACCCAGATTGTTTAGCTCTCTGCTTTATGTTCTATTACAATGCAGTTTAAAGGAAAGTCCTAATTAAAAGAAAAAAATAAAA